AGGGGGGGCTGCTTTTCCTCCGACGGCACCGGTACGGGGGGTTTTGGGGGGTCTGGGGGTGCCCCAGCTCGGTCCGGGGGTGTCCCGGAGTTTGGGGGTGCCCCTGCGCGGTCCGGGGGTGCCCCAGCGCAGTTTTGGGGTGCCCATCTGTTTGGGGGTGCCCATGGCGGTCCGGGGCTGCCCTGGGCGATCCGGGGGTGTCCCGGGGGTTTGGGGGTGTCCCAGCTCGGTCCGGGGGTGCCCCAGCGCAGTTTTGGGGTGCCCATCGGTCCGGGGGTGTCCAGCTCGGTCTGGGGGTGTCCCAGGGGTTTGGGGGTGCCCATCGCGGTCTGGGGGTGTCCCCGCGATCCGGGGGTACCCATGACGGTCCGGGGGTGCCCCAGCGCAGTTTTGGGGTGCCCATCGCGGTCTGGGGGTGCCCCATCGGTCCGGGGGTGCCCCAGCGCAGTTTTGGGGTGCCCCTGACCCCCCCGTGCCCCCCCAGCCGCGTTCAAGGCCCTCTAGAACCCCAAGACCCCCCTGGGACCCTCCTGGGACCCCCTAACCCACCCTGGGACCCTCCTGGGACCCTCCTGGCACCCCCCTGGGATCTCTGGAACCCCCAACTCTGCCCTCAGGACCCCAAACACCCCCGAGACCCCCCCCTGACACTTCCCAGGACCCCCAAAGGGGACATGAGACGGGGCTGGGGACAGGCTTGGGGACATGGTTTGGATTTGAGGATGCAGGACAGGGCTGAGGACACTGCCCGGGGTTGGAGACATGGGATGGGTTTGGGGACAGGGCTGGGGACACTTCCCGGGGCTGGGGACACTGCCCGGGGTTGGGGACAGGACAAATGTCCCCGCAGACATCGACGAGTGTGCCAAGGGTGACGTGTGCGGGGACGGTGGCACCTGCTCCAACGTGCCGGGCCACTACAAGTGCGAGTGCCACCCGGGCTACCGGCGCAAGGGCTCGCGGCCACCGCTCTGCGAAGGTGACACGGGGCGGGGACACCGCGGCGGGGGTGGTGACACCGGGGTGGCGACACGGGGGTGGGGACACGAGGCCACCGGGGACGGGGACAGCGCGCCTTGGAGGGGCCAGCCCGCGCTAGGGGACACTGTGGGGTGTCCCCGCGATGTCCCCAGTGTCCCCGATGTCCCCCAGTGTCCCCGGTGTCCCCGATGTCCCCAATGTCCTCAATGTCCTCGATGTCCCTGATGTCCCCGATGTCCCCAATATCCCCAATGTCCCCAAGGTCCCCAATGTCCCCAGTGTCCCCAATATGCCCAGTGTCCCCGATGTCCCTGATGTCCCCAATGTCCTCGATGTCCTCGATGTCCCCGATGTCCCCAGTGTCCTTCAGCCCCAATATCCCCGATGTCCCCAATGTCCCCAATATCCCCGATGTCCCCAATATCCCCAGTGTCCCCACTGTCCCCGATGTCCCTGATGTCCCCAATGCCCACAATGTCCTCGATGTCCCCAGTGTCCCCGATGTCCCTGATGTCCCCAACATCCTGAAGTCCCCGATGTCCCCAATGTCCCCCTGCCACCCCCCAGACATCAACGAGTGCCTGGACGCGGGGACGTGCCCCGACTCCAAGTGCGAGAACCACCCGGGGGGCTTCGTGTGCACCCCCTGCCCCCCCGGCTTCCGCGGCCTCAACGGCGCCTGCCTCGGTCAGCACCCCCGGGACCCCCCCCAAACCACTGCGACCCCCCCCAAAATCCACCTGGGATCCCCCAAACCCCCCCGGGACGGGGGGACGGGAGCCACCGTCGGGGTACAGGGGCCACTGCGGGGACACGCGGGAGTGGGGACACCGTGGGGACACCGTGGGGCCCAGGGGACACCTCGGGGGCACACAGGGACGTACCAGAGCGTGTGGGGACCCGCAGGACGTGGGGGTCCCCCTGTGACACACGGGGGGACGGGAGCCACCGTCGGGGTACAGGGGCCACTGCGGGGACACGCGGGAGTGGGGACACCGTGGGGACACCGTGGGGCCCAGGGGACACCTCGGGGGCACACAGGGACGTACCAGAGCGTGTGGGGACCCGCAGGACGTGGGGGTCCCCCTGTGACACACGGGGGGACGGGAGCCACCGTCGGGGTACAGGGGCCACTGCGGGGACACGCGGGAGTGGGGACACCGTGGGGACACCGTGGGGCCCAGGGGACACCTCGGGGGCACACAGGGACGTACCAGAGCGTGTGGGGACCCGCAGGACGTGGGGGTCCCCCTGTGACACACGGGGGGACGGGAGCCACCGTCGGGGTACAGGGGCCACTGCGGGGACACGCGGGAGTGGGGACACCGTGGGGACACCGTGGGGCCCAGGGGACACCTCGGGGGCACACAGGGACGTACCAGAGCGTGTGGGGACCCGCAGGACGTGGGGGTCCCCCTGTGACACACGGGGGGACGGGAGCCACCGTCGGGGTACAGGGGCCACTGCGGGGACACGCGGGAGTGGGGACACCGTGGGGACACCGTGGGGCCCAGGGGACACCTCGGGGGCACACAGGGACGTACCAGAGCGTGTGGGGACCCGCAGGACGTGGGGGTCCCCCTGTGACACACGGGGGGACGGGAGCCACCGTCGGGGTACAGGGGCCACTGCGGGGACACGCGGGAGTGGGGACACCGTGGGGACACCGTGGGGACATCGCGGGGACACCGTGGGGACATTGTGGGGACACATGGGAGTGGGGACACCGCGGGGACATCGTGGGGACACCGTGGGGACATCGTGGGGACATCGTGGGGACACCGTGGGGACATCGTGGGGACATTGTGGGGACACCACGGGGACACACGGGAGTGGGGACACCATGGGGGGGCAGGGAGGTGCCAGGGGACAACATGGGGACACCGTGAGGGGTCCAGGGGCCACCAGGGACCACACTGGGGCCACCATGGGGACACCCAAGGGACACCTTAGGGACACCAAGGAGTGGTGGCCACCACAAGGGGGACACTAGGGGACATCATGGGGACACCCCGGGGACACCATGGTGGGGAGGGGGACACAGGGGACATGGGGACCCCACGGCAGGGAGGGGGTGGGGACAAGGGACACGGCACGGGGGGGGCCATGCCCCACGGTTGGGGCAGTGGATGGGGGTGGGGACATGGGACAGGTTGGGGACAGGGTTGGGGACAGACGACAGGGTTGGGGACAGGGCTGGGGACATGAGACGGGGCTGGGGACAGGCTTGGGGACATGGTTTGGATTTGAGGATGCAGGACAGGGCTGAGGACACTGCCCGGGGTTGGGGACAGGGGACAGGCTTGGGGACAGGGCTGGGGACACGAAACGGGGCTGGGGACAGTGCCCAGGGTTGGGGATAGGGGACAGGGTTGGGGACATGGTTTGGGTTGGGGGATGCAGGACAGCCTTGGGGACACTTCCCGGGGCTGGGGACACTGCCCGGGGTTGGGGACAGGACAAATGTCCCCGCAGACATCGACGAGTGTGCCAAGGGTGACGTGTGCGGGGACGGTGGCACCTGCTCCAACGTGCCGGGCCACTACAAGTGCGAGTGCCACCCGGGCTACCGGCGCAAGGGCTCGCGGCCACCGCTCTGCGAAGGTGACACGGGGCGGGGACACCGCGGCGGGGGTGGTGACACCGGGGTGGCGACACGGGGGTGGGGACACGAGGCCACCGGGGACGGGGACAGCGCGCCTTGGAGGGGCCAGCCCGCGCTAGGGGACACTGTGGGGTGTCCCCGCGATGTCCCCAATGTCCTCGATGTCCCTGATGTCCCCAGTGTCCCCGATGTCCCCAATGTCCTCAATGTCCTCGATGTCCCCGATGTCCCCAATATGCCCAGTGTCCTCGATGTCCCCAATGTCCTCGATGTCCCCGATGTCCCCAATATCCCCAATGTCCCCAAGGTCCCCAATGTCCCCAGTGTCCCCAATATGCCCAGTGTCCCCGATGTCCCTGATGTCCCCAATGTCCTCGATGTCCTCGATGTCCCCGATGTCCCCAGTGTCCTTCAGCCCCAATATCCCCGATGTCCCCAATGTCCCCAATATCCCCGATGTCCCCAATATCCCCAGTGTCCCCACTGTCCCCGATGTCCCTGATGTCCCCAATGCCCACAATGTCCTCGATGTCCCCAATGTCCCCAATGTCCCCAACATCCTGAAGTCCCCAATGTCCCCAATGTCCCCCTGCCACCCCCCAGACATCAACGAGTGCCTGGACGCGGGGACGTGCCCCGACTCCAAGTGCGAGAACCACCCGGGGGGCTTCGTGTGCACCCCCTGCCCCCCCGGCTTCCGCGGCCTCAACGGCGCCTGCCTCGGTCAGCACCCCCGGGACCCCCCCCAAACCACTGCGACCCCCCCCAAAATCCACCTGGGATCCCCCAAACCCCCCCGGGA